TTTTTTTTCAAACTTCCAGAAAAGCAGTCAGCATCCTATAAAGAATTCCCATCTCTGCCGTACCCACAGTTCTCCCTGGTTAGGATGTTGTCAGATTCGCCTTACTATTCCGTCTTTCTCTAGAGTTAGGCAAGTGGACTTCTGGCTTGCACCCTCTGAGAGAGAATTGCAGGCAAGCCACCCCGTCACACTGTAGCTCAGCAGCGGGGCCATGTCTGAGAGCTCAGGGGCCGCTCCTATCCAAGCTGGGCTGTGTCAAAGACAGGCGTCCGTACGGACGGCCTCGGTGGTCCAGCGCAGTGTCAGAGAGGCCCTCTGTAGGCCCTGGACCAGACGTAGGACACATGCTGGGTCTTCAAATGCCTTCAACCCGGAACAGCCCCACCAGTGTTCCTTCTCTCTCCCTATCTGGCTGCGTCTGAGGTGCAGGTTGCTTGTATGATCGATTGTGCCTTACTCAGTGTGGGTCTGCCTGATGTCTTCTCAGGATCCTCATAGCGACCCCATAGGACAGGGCAGAACTGCCCCTGGCGGTTCCTGAGACTGTAACCCTCCCAGGAGGAGAAAGCCTCTTCTCTCTCCCACTGAGCAGCTAGTGGTTTCAAACTGCTGACCTGCCGGTTAGCAGCCTAACATGTAATATGCATTTTGTCAGAATGACCCTGGATGTTATAAGAGCTGCAAGAGCCCCCCACTAAAATGATTTTTACAAAAGCCCTGGCTGGATGAAACACCCTGTTCTTCCCCCGTGTGCACAGCAGGTGGGCTCAATGCCTTCTGACCCTGCCGAGGTGTGCGACTCCAGTGAGAGGGTCCGCCTCGATTCCTGCACTTCAGTTAATGGATGCGTGGCGTGACCCCGGGTGGTTTGGTGGAAAGGCTAGCACAGCACCAGTGTTGCGTGGTGGTGTCCACAGGGCTCCTGGGGATCAGAACCGACCCAATGGCCCCTAGCAACAACACAGACTTTGCCCTTGGAATGGAAAACGTGTGTATTTTGTATGGGGAAATATGGTGAGACTAGGTGCTTACATATTTTCACCAACACGTTTTAGCATCTGCCAGGGAGCCTAGCCTGAGCCAGGATTGACTGTGACAGGCGGGGCTAGCCCACCCTTCTTTCTCCTGCACTCACCAGCTGCCCTTCTGTTGTGAGAGAGCTTCCCCTCCTGCCCTGTCTGTTTATTGACGCACGTCTCTGGGCTCATTACGGACTCGGGTTCCTGTTCATTCCGTGGGTCTTCATGTTCCCGCCGTGGCCAACTTGGATGGCTGATTGTCCCAGGTGCGGCCAGTGGGCACTCCCTCACGCCGCCCGCGCTGACCGCTGTGACGCCCACCATCCTTGCTGTGCTTCCTCACCCTCGGACACGAGATAGCTCACACTCATTGTGTGCTTTCCCTGACCCGGCCCTAGAAGGAGCCAGTCAGCCCGGCTCCTTTCATGGACCAAGATCTAGACACTAAACCAAGCACCCAGCCCAGTGCTGACAAAATGATTCCTGCTGTAGGACAGAGGAGAATTGCCCCATGGCATCTCCAACGCTGCCGCCTTCACAGAAGCAGGCTCCCTCAACTTCTTCTCACTGAACGGCCAGTGGATTTGAACCACCAACTCTCTGGTTACCAGCCAACCCTTTAAGCAGTGTTCCACCAGGGCTTGTAGCTAGACACTAACCCACTGCCATCAAGTCAACTCTGATAGGAGAGAACTGCTCCTTGGGGTCTCCGAGACTTTAAGTCTTTACAAGAGCAGGCTGCCTCAACTTTCTCCCTCGGAGTGGCGGGTGGGCTCGAACCACCAGCCTTGTTGTCAGCAGCGCAGCACTTGACCCGCCACACCATCAGGGCTCCTCCTCTGGGTATCACCCCACTCCCGAGTCATCGTGACCCTGCACTGGGTGTCCAAGGCTGAAAATGTTCACAGAGCAGACAGCCTCTCTTTCAGGGGGTGCATTCCCCCAACTCCAAGGAGTCCTGGAGGGGTAAGTGGTTATACATTGGGCTGCTCACCACAGGTCAGCAGTTTGAAACCACCAGCCCACTCCTAGGGAGAAAAACAAGGCTTTTTACTACCGTAAAGAGTTACAGTCTTGGGAGAGGGGGGAAAATGAGGAGCTGCTGATATCAAGGGTTCAAGTAGAAAGAAATGCTTTGAAAATGATGATGGCAACAAATGTACAGATGTGCTTGACACAATGGATGGATGGATGGATGGTGATAAGAGCTGTAAGAGCGCCCAATAAAATGATTTTTTTTTTTTTAAAAAAGTTACAGTCTTTAACCCACAGGACAGTTCTACCCTGTCTTCAATGAGTCGGAATCCACTCGGTGGCAGTGAGAGAGTGCTCCCTCTGGTGGACCAAGCTAGGAAATGGTTGGCACTCAGTTGCTAACTAAAGGTTGGAGGTTTGAATCCGCTTTGTGGAAAAGACCTGGCACTCTACTTCCAAGAAAGTGACAGCCACAGAAACCCGATGGAGCCATTCCACTCTGTGACCACGGGGCTTCCACGAGTCAGAACCAACGCCGAGACAGCCAACAACATAAACAGTAACCACACCCATTGCCTGCAAGTCAATTTCGACTCGTGGCATTAGGCACACACTGCAAGTCTGTCTAGCCCTGGGGTCGCAGCGGTAGCTTCAGTCCCACCCCAGCACGTACAGGACAAGGGCAGCCCTCCCCCTGGCCCATCTGCAGCCCCTTTCCCAGCAGTGAGAAGCCAGCAGGCCTCCCGTTATCCTCCATGGATTTGCCTGTTTGGGCAGTTCTGGTCACCCATTGGACTGCCATCCACTAGCCAGTCCGCAGGAGAAAGACAGGGCTTTCGATACCTATAAATACAGTTACAGTCTTGGAAACTCAGGGCAGTTCTACCCTGCTCTAGAGGGGCATATGTGCCCTGTGAGTCGGCCTCAACTTGACGGCGGTGAGTTTGGTTAGATCCCCTCCCCTCTGCCCTGGCAAGAGCCCCAGCGGTCAGGTTCAAACATGGTTAGGAACAAGGGGGAGGGGGCTGGCTGTCGTGAGCGAAATATGTAAGTAATCCCAACCCATCCTCTTGCCCCACTCAGGTTTCTTTGTGTGTGTGTGTGTGTGTGTGTGTGTGTGTGTGTGTCTGGGGGAGAGGAGGACACATGCCATTTGCCCATTTCCACTGCTCCTCTCATCGCCAGCTGCAGTGCCCACCGCCGCGGGGCCCCGCCCCAGAGGCTCAGAGCGGGCTTCTCCATGAGGACTAAGTTCTCGAGAGGAGTAGTCCCCTCAACCTCAGGGCTGAGGGGTTCCCTCCACACGCAGCCCTGCCCAGTGACAGACAGGCCCACAGAAAACTCGAGGGCAAGTCCGTGGAGACCGGGCGGGAACAGTGGGCAAGGATGAGGAAGAGAGCCTGTCCCTAGAATGCTGCCCCCACCGATGGAGTGGGCTCTGTGAAAACGGCCTCTCGGTCATCACCGTCCGTCCCAAGGTGATGCAGCACCCCAACGAGGGCGCACTGGTGCTCGGCCTGCACAGCAACGTGAAGGACGTCTCCGTGCCCGTGGCTGAGATCAAGGTCCACTCCCTCTCCAGCCAGCCCATTGACCACGAGGGCGTCAAATCCAAGCTCTCGGGTAAGATGGGCAGCCACGGAGGGCCGGCCTGGCCCCCTGGCTAATTCCTCTGGGAAAGAGGCGCGGGGCCCATGCGAGCCCCTGCACGCTGCCAGTCCCGTGTGACGCAGGCGTTGGTCCCCAGATCGCTCCCCCGACATCGACAACTACTCCGAGGAGGAGGAGGAGAGCTTCTCTTCCGAGCAGGAAGGCAGCGATGACCCCCTGCATGGGCAGGTAAAGGCATGGCCCTCAGAGAACACCCCAGGGGCCAGGGGCAGGCGCTCCCGGGCTGCCCAGCCTCAGCTCCCCCACCCCCACCCCAGGACCTGTTCTACGAGGACGAGGACCTCCGCAAAGTGAAGAAAACGCGCAGGAAGCTGACCTCCACCTCCGCCATCACCAGGGTGAGCCCGTGGGCCCGAGACCGGACAGGGTGGGGCGGGGCCACCTAGGCTTCTGTCAGCTACAGTGGCCCTTCACTGGAGGTTCTGACATGCCCTCTGGGGGCACCACGGCCCCTCACTACTCACGTAAAAGTGCCTGGTACCCACAGGAGCGGAGCGTTATGCAACCTGAGGGTCCCTTGGATTAGAGTAAAGGGGAGAGCCCAGCTTTCCAATAGGGGCAGCAACCCCTCTGCCCCCTTCCTCTCGCACCCAGGTGCCTCCCCCCACAGGCCATTGTCTGCAGGGCCTTCGCCATTTCTAACCTACTATGTGCGCAAGCGCACCTGTCAGCTGGGACCTGGGCCTGTGCGTGGCCGCTGCTGCCGCCTCAGCTACCCTTTCTGTGCTCATGGAACACAGGGTCTTGTCTCCTGCGTGGGGTCTCCTCTGTTTCCGGTGGACTGAGACCCCTAACACTGAATTCACGGGTTAACTGACTGAGCTGGGCCTCCCGCGGGTACGAGGTACGAGGCAGCTCTGTGAGATGAGGCCTGGGGACCAGCCTCCTCAGAGGGGTCAGGGTCAGTGCTCAGTGTGGTCGGCCCTGAGCAGCCAGCCCTTCTCGTCTCTCACCTCCGCCCGAGGGATCGCCGGGCTGACAGGCAAGCTCTCAGAGCCCCTGACCTCGATTCCCCTGGACGGTTCCATTGAGAGACCAGAGGTCACCAGGGCCCCATGCAGGAGGGGGGGGGGAGGGGGCACGCACACAGTGACCTGAGGCCCATGTTGCCTTGGGCGCGGCGGCCTGTGTGCGTCTCACCACGAAGCCCGCCATGCTTCCTACCCTGGGCACCCTGGAGCCCTGTGCTGCTTGGCCGCTCCTGTCCTCTCCCTGATGCCCGCCCCAAGCCCTAGCTGCAAGCCCTTCCCCACCTCTTCTTCCTGTCACCCCGCTCCTGGCACCTGCCCTGGAAAGGAGGGGCACACAGGCACCCACACAATCTACCTCTTGGGCTCTGACCCACCTCCATAGCCAGGGTCACAAGTCATCCTCTCTGCCTTGACACCCTGCCCCCACTGGAGGGGCGTAGCTCAGGCTGACCTGGGAGTTGGTTGTGTCCGTGCCCACTGGTGAGTGTGTCTTCAGGCAGGAGCACGTCCCTGCTCTCAGAGGACCCCGAGTCCTGTTACCCAAACTCCTCTGAGGGGCGGTGCCCTAAGCAGGAGCACTGGATGAGGGTCCTCGACCGCTGCTGAGAAGGCTCCGTGAGGATAAGTAAAAACCATGCGTCTCCAAGTGGTGGGGACGTTTTTATTCCACTCAGAAGGCCCAGAGGTTGGAACCACGGGCACTTCCTTCCCAAAGAGCTAGAGTCATTTCCGCAGGAGCCAGGCTGACGGGTGGGACCACGCCAGCCCCCAGACGGCCGGCCACACAGGCCTCCGCTGAGCCTGCTCCAGGTGCACTGTGTGCCCACGGAGACTTCTGGGTAGCAGGCATGGGATAAGGACATGCTGGAGAGGGTGTGTCAGCCTCATTGGGGTACAGCCGGAAATGAGAGGATGGGAGCCCACCAGTGCTGCATGTGGACCAGGAGGGCGCGCCGGGGTGTCGGCAGCCGGGGCTTGGTAACTGGGCGGCTGCTGCTGTCCATGGGCAGGAGGGCACTGGAAAAGCTGGTGGGGGGAGCGCTGCATCTGAGGTGCCAGGGATCACCGTGATCTGGGGCCCTGAGAGCGAGTAAGGCTGATCTGGGAGTGGGGGACGTGGGGGTGTGGCCTCGAGGGTTGGCCAGACATCCTCCCTCGCCCTGTGCCCACAGCACTGGCACTAAGTGTCCCTGCCCATCTCCCCTATGTCTTCTCATCACGCAGTCTTCCCGCTCTCCTTTCCAAACGCCGGCTCTCCGCCGGCACTAGTGTAGCCGCACACGTGGGGGCTAGTCTGAGACCAGGTGTGCAATTTGCCCCCGCAGCAACCGAACATCAAGCAGAAATTTGTGGCCCTCCTGAAGCGGTTCAAAGTCTCCGATGAGGTATGCCCCCAAGTCGCCCCCTACCCCCCAGCGAGCCGAGCCCGCAGGAGTCAGGATTCCAGGATGACCACCCCCACCCACCCCCACCTCCTGCTTGCCTCGTGCATCTAAGAGCTGCTGAGTGAGCAGCCCCAGAAGGGCTGTGAGCAGCTGGAGGGGCCAGCGTTTGCCCGCGGGATCTGCGCAGGGCTGGCACAGGTGTGCCCCACCTTCATGAACACTGAAGCCTGGTCTGCGCTGTCGGTGACAGGCCCCATGGCTGTCTTTATAAAGCTCCCCGCCTAGCCCAAGGGACACATCAATCAGTGAAGAAGGCCCGTTCTTGGCGGTCAGCGCTGGGGAGCCAAGAACTGACCACTGCTCCCAGAGCAGCCCCGGCCTTCCTGCAGCCTAGGAGGCCTGCTGCCCGCTCTTCCGGGCTTCTCTCAGTGGACAGAGAAGGGGTGAAGGTGGAAGCTGCTGGGGCAAGGGCCCAGGAGACGGGAGGCGCCCACACAGAGCGGCGGTGACGCTGGCTAAGGGACCCCTGACACCCGGGCCCTGCCCCACAGGTGGGCTTCGGGCTGGAGCACGTGTCGCGGGAGCAGATCCGCGAGGTGGAGGAGGACCTGGACGAGCTGTACGACAGCCTGGAGATGTACAACCCCAGCGACAGCGGCCCCGAGATGGAGGAGACCGAGAGCATCCTGAGCACGCCCAAGCCCAAGCTCAAGTGAGCCCACCCACGCCCGGCCAGCGCACCCTGCCTGCCACCCGCTGCCGGGTGCACACTGGGGGCCCTGACCCGGCTGCTCCCCCACAGGCCCTTCTTCGAGGGGATGTCGCAGTCCAGCTCGCAGACGGAGATTGGCAGCCTAGGCAAGGGTGCCACCAGCCCGGTAAGCAGGCCAGGCCGCGGCGGGCGGGACACCGGGAGGAGGGGTGGGGGAGCGGCAGAGCCCTGGGGGGCTGGGGCGTGGAAGGATGGGACGCTGCTGTGTCTCTACCCAGGACTCATTCTGCAGCCTGGGATTCCCCCCTCAGCTCCAGCTGGGAGCTTAGTTCTCTAAGGGCACTGCTGTGCCTGGTCAGGTGCCCTCCCCAAACAGGCAGCACCCCAGCACTCGGGCCAAGGTAGCAGAGTGGGAAACACGCTGTGGGGAGGAGGAGGTGCCCATGAGAACCTGTGTGAAGGGCCAGGAGACCGCGTGTCTTTCTGGAGGGCAGGAAGTGTCCCCATTAGGGGAGCAATGATGCCCTGAGAGAATTTAGAGTTTGATGCACACTTTCCATTTTGCACCCCTTCCACGCCATATTCTGCTGTAGCAGCACACACGTGCACACAGACACACACACACACTCAACCTGCTGCAGTTGCCCTTGGAGAGACCGCCCCCCAGGGGGGAGCTAGGCTGAAGCTGCCCCCACCGCAGGCCTGAGTGTGGGCCACGGCTGCTGGTGGAAGCCCTCAGTGGCTCCTCTGCCCCTGCTGTCTGCTCGCACAAGCCCAGGAGAAGCTGGCAGCCATCCTGAACAGGGCTCATTCTGAGGCAGAGTTGGAGGAGGGAGAGGCCCCCCCTGGGAAGGCCTGGAGCCAGCCATCTGCAAACAGCACGGCCGTAGCTGCATGACTGTCTGCAGCCACCAGGTGGGGCTGTCTCACCTGGGATCAGTCTGGTTAAGACTGAGCCTCCAGGAGCCCACCAGAGCTGTCTCTGGGGAAGGGTAGGTGTACGTGCGAACGTGCGAATGAACCCTCAGCCTTCAACCTGTAAGAGCCTCTGCTGTGCGCCCTCGAACACGGACCTGGGCGGGTGGGATCTGGTCTCAGGTCCCTGGTTCATGTTAAGAATCTTAAGCGCTAAGCCTCAGACGCCTTAGTCCTAAGAGTTTGGCGACAGACCCAGTTAGCTCAAAAGCCACCCAATTATGAGTCTCTCCACGTGGGTGTCTCGGGGCCCAAGGCCTGCTCAGGCCATTTGGGCAGGATGGGGCTGGGCTGGGGCCCACGCTCTGGAGGACTGACTTCTGAGTTTGAGCCTGGCCTCGCCCACTTGACTGAGGTCCCAGCCGCCAAGCCTTCATCTTTGTCATCCTCTTGGTCCGCATGTCCTCCCCTGCCCCCACTTTCCAAGGGAAGGATCAGGTAGAGGGCTGTGGGGAGACCTTACTGTCCACAGGAGACGCTGCTGCTCAAAACTAGAAGTCTGCTCCTTCCAAGGCGGGCTCCCCTGGCCGATCCCAGGCGCACATTGGCTGTCGGGTGAACGGCCCGTGGGAAAGGCAGAGCCGGGCGGTGCAGTGGCATACACAGTAGGAAAGATGCACGTGCACCCGCCGCCTCGCAGAGGGCCCTGTGCCCTGCGTGGCCAGCATCCGAGTCATTGTCTCGGCCGCCTCTTCATTTTGGTTCTCCACATTTTCACCCAGTCCGTTGGCCACAAGGACTGGAGGCACATAAACAACTGGATGACCCTGGTTGAGTCCTCCCCAGCCCTGAGCGTGTCCCAGCCCTGAGCGTGTCTCTGGGAGGGCGGCCAAGCGCTGCCTGTCCCCCTTGCCACAGAGCTGTCACTACCAGCAGGGAGCCCTGGTGGTGCAGGGCTGAAGCGCTCGGCTGTAAACCCACCAGCCATCCCAAGGGAGAAAGATGCGCCCATCTGCACTTAAAGGTGCGGAAACCCTCTGGGGCACTTCTCTGCCCCAGGGAGGTGCTTGGTTTGGGGTTGGTGGGGCACCAGAAGAACAAGCCGGTCTGTCTCCCGTGTTAGCCAAGGGCTCCGCCCTGGAGAAGGGCATCGGTGATGTAGAGAGTGAACACAAAGGAGGCCCTCAGCGAGATGACTTGACACAAGATGACTTGACACGGGGGCTGCAGCTCTGGGCTCAAGCGTCACAAGGCCTGTGCTGCTGGCGCCGGCCGGGCAGTGTCTCATTCTGTCGTGCATAGGGCTGCCGTGCTGGGAACTGACCCCTCAGGCCCCGCAGCCATCTCTGCGGAAACAGACTGCCACGTCCTTCTCCCGGGAAGAGGCTGGTGGCCCCAAACCCGCCTGGCGGCGGTGGCAGGTGCTCTCACCAGTGTGGCATCAGGGCGAGTGGCCCCCGGTTGGCGCCCCCCGGGCAAGGCTGTTTCTCAACTTCCTGGGTCCGCGCTCTGAACATCCCCTCCCCGTGATGACACCTGACTGAGTCAGGGCTTTGGGAGCCTGCATCTCCCGTGTCACTGCCTGGACGGTGACCAAAATAGCTGCCCCCTCGGGCTCTGTGTTAAAAATATACATATGTGTGCCTACCCCTCGTGGGGTGAAAGACACCTCTGTGTGAGCTTGAAGACTCAGAGCAAGTGTTTTCAGCCTTCCAGGGGCCTCGCCCAACTGGCAAGGGTGGGAGTAGTCAGAATCAGCGATGACTAATCATCGTTATCGTTACAGATGGAATTGGCCAAATCGACTTGGATGAAGAACCCAGATGACAGCCTGCCAGAAACAGACACTCTGGTGCGTATGCTCGCTCTCCGGCGTCCTCTGTCGAAGGCAGGGCCTGTTCCCTGGAACAAAGGCCACCTGGGAAACATCGCCTGCGTCTGCAGGGTCATGAATGTGCTGTGTCCTCTTTCCCCCCACTCCCCGAGCACCCGTACCCCCGAGAGCAAAGCAGAGTCTTTCCACGCTGCCCTGCACGAGCTGGGCTCCCGCTCTGGTGTGAACACCTCTCCCATCTGCCGGCCCGATGGACATCTGTGGGCGGATGCCAGTGTCTCGCCCAGCAAAGCAGTCCCTCCTTGGGTGGTGGTCCTGCTGTGACTGGGAAGCCCACTGCAGAGAATCTCTGCCAACACCTTCCTCTCGGAGACACGGGAGCTGCCCAGGAGCACAGGTCCCAGCCCTGGGGAATGGCCTGGACCAGGTGCACAGTGCCTGAGCCAATTAACACACAACTCCACAAGTGTGGCCGTGGCCCTGCCAGGTGCCCTGAAGATGCCAGGATGGATGCCTCTAGGTCCCCCCCACATCAGTGCACCCACCTTCCAGGGGGAAAGGACTGGCAAGGAGACCCCTCGGCGGGACCACTGAATGTCAGTGAGAGGGCTGGCAGCTGGACACAGCAGACGAGCGGTGCCAGAGAGCTGACCACACAGCAGCCGGGCCAGGCCTGCGCAGCTCATGGTGAGGCTTTGGCTCCCCCAGGGATCTAAGGAGGAGAGGTTATAAGCCCCATGTCCTGGAAGCAGCTTGTGACGCAGTGCTCAAGTACCCCGCTGCGAAGCAAAGGCTGTCTGTTCAGACCCCCCAGCTCCTCTACAAGAGAAAGCGAAGGCGGTCTGCTCCCGTCAAGATGAGGGCCTTGGACATTGCTGCCCCAGGAGCTGTAACTGACTCTGCCCACACGTGGCCTATTCCCTTCGTGAACAGCCAGGAACCCTGGTGACCTAACGGTGACGTGCTGGGCTGCCATCCACATGGTTGGCAGTTCGAAACCAGCAGTAGCAGCAGCAGCCCTGAGGGAGAAAGCCGGGGCCTTCTGCTCCATACACAGTTAACAGCCTCACACCCACGGCGGAGGGTCAGGCCCCTGTGCGTCAGCACTGACTCAGTGGCAGTGAGTTTGGGTTTTGTCTGTCTAGTGAGCACCCTCGCAGAAAGGAACCAGCACATGACCCAAACAGTGGCTGGGCTCCAGAACCATTTAAAACGCACTTTGCAAATCACCAGCGACCCGGGTCTCCCAGACTCCTGCCCCCACCCAACCCTGCCCCCGCACGCTGCACGCTGCACGTGACAGTCAGTCGCTGCTTCACGATGCAATTACAGTCACGTCACTTCCTGTCTGGAGCTCTCCACTGACTGCTCAAATCCAGAGACAACGTTGAGCAAGAGAAGCCAGACTCAAAGAACATGCTGCGTTCTGATTGCGCTCATGCAAAACGCACCTCAAGGCCGGATGACGGAATCTGTGCTGACCTCTGGGCATGGGGACTGGCTGGGCAGGACACACCAGACATGTACTGTATGTGGAGCTGAGTCACCGTCACCCCAGGATGTACCAAACACCCAAGCCAAACCCACCGGGACACCCTGCAGGGCAGAGTAGAACTGCTCGGTGGGATTTCTGAAGTTATAAATCTTTGCAGGGGCACACAACCTCCTTTTTCTCCTATGGAGCCACTGGTGGGCTTGAACCACCTACCTGGCAGGTAGCAACCTCGCGCCTAGCCCAGGGATCCGTGTCAATAAGAATGTCAGCTGTCCCTTCCCGATGTGTCACCTTGTTAGGATCGCTCCTCCGCAGAAATGGTAACGCTGAGAAGAGTGAGCCCAGGCTGGAAGGAAATGGGTTCTGGCACTGGGCAGGGGAAGGGGCATTCTCCCTTGGGGCCTGGGACTGGAGCAGTCAGAGATGGTCGGCCCAGAGGAAGAGCAGTGAAGTTAGATGGGCGAGGTCAGGTGGGCACGTGGCACCGTGGGTTGTGCATTTGGCCGTGAGCAGCAGAGTCAGCAGTTCAAACCCACCATCCC